TCTCTCTCTCTCTCTCTCTCTCTCTCTCTCTCTCTCTCTCTCTCTCTCTCTCTCTCTCTCTCATCGCGCCACCTCTCCCTCTCTCTCTCTTCTCGTCGTGGTCCCCCTCTCTCTCTTTCTCGTCTTCGCGGCCTCTCTCTCTCTCTCTCTCTCTCTCTCTCTCTCTCTCTCTCTCTCTCTCTCTCTCTCTCTCTCTCGCTCGCTCGCTCGCTCGCTCGCTCTCGCTCTCTCGTGTGCGTTGGACATCGTGTAAGCCCGCGTTCGTTGCGTCCAAAGCTTTGGCTCGCGCGGCAAATGAGAGCGGCGGACTTAAACGGCCCGCTTTATAGCGAAGCTGCACGCCCCGCAAAGGCACCCCGTTTTTTTTTTTTTTTTTTTTTTTTTTCAGTTATGAATGCATGAGGTGGTGCCCAACAGGCCACCACACCACCCCAGGTACTCAGAAATCCCAATCCCCCCCCCTAAACCAGTGAAATAGGGGTTCGCGGAACCTGTTCAAATCTCGTCTAACACTCGTTTTAACGGGATAGAATGCGAATTCAACGCCCGTTCAATTTTTTAACGCGGAACGCGCGTTGAATCCGAAATCGGACACACAGCATATTGTGTATCTATTCCTCCAACACCGTAAGCGAGAGGATAACATTTTTTTAGAATCTTACGACACAAATCCCGAATGGGGTTCCGGACATTATTGAAGAGGATTGCAACGCAGCTCTAGATCGTTGAATGGACAGATGGCGGACGCTGTCCCCTGCCCCGACGTATGTGGAGGAGGATCAGTGGATAATCAACGAGTTATTTCTTTCACTAAATTTGACTCCTTCCGGATGCTAAGCCCATATACTAGGTTTTATTCATGCCTACGGAGGCTACGAAAGACTGGAACTTAAAGTCAGTCGAGATCCCGGATCGCTTAATTTTTTATCTTGGAAGACATGGGAGGATTGTTGCTCCTAGCAACGATGCTACCTGCTAGTCCCCACCCGGGCCTTGATCATAAAATGTGCACGATCATTTTGTCGTTCTGAAATAAACCCGATCGCGGACCTGACTTTTACAAACTAAATGCCTCTATCTTACAACAAAAAACTTTTCAGAGTTATATTAAGGACTGTTGGACATTCTGGCACACACAGAGGCAGCACATTCAGTAGGAAATAGACTGGTTTAATAACGGACTGTTCTATCTGGGTACAAAATGTCAAGAATATTCCAAACTCTTAGCTTCCAGAAAGTATCAACAAGAGATGAAAATTCACCAACAACTGCAGCAACTGGAACATCAAGATCAACCAAACAGCTTACACAATGTACAACACACATAGCATACACAACCATAAGATTGTTCAGAGGTACAGATGTTGCAACAATGACTCCAGACCTTTGCCACACAACATTGGGAGGACACACGTATTAGAGAAAGACGGATAAAGCATCGAACGGAAGGAACCATTGATAAAACATTTTTTAGTATGACCCGTGTACATTCGCGCAGAACAACCGTAAAAGCGCTATACAATCCACGGACTGGATACCAAAATATTGCCACCTCCTCCCCCCACTGCACGCAGATAGCTAGGTCCTTCTTCAGGGCTCTGTTCGCTTCAAGATGCGCCCGCCGGGAGAGGAACGTCCAGGAGAAGGAAATAAAGGACTTTTTGAAACCACTGGATAAGACCTTAACAGGCCAGCAAAAAACAGATCTGGATCGTCCCCTGTCCAAGGAGGAAATCTGGACGGCGATGACGCAGATGGATGAAGAGAAGACGTCGGGCATTGATGCGTTTCCCAAGGAATTATGTGAGACCTTCTGGACTCAGATGGCCCCGGATCTCATGAAGTTCTATCACCATGTGTGGGACACAGGGCAGATGGGGGAGTTGGTGGGGCAAGGCGTCCTCACCCTACAAAACAAAAAGGGAGATAAGATGGATATCAAGAACTACCGACCGATAACGTTGCTTACAGTTGTTTATAAAATGTTCGCGAAAGCCCTCGCAAACCGACTAATCCCGGTCTTGGACAATATTATTCACCCAACGCAGACCGCGTTTGTCAAAGGACGCAGAATCCAAGACAATATCCTACTAGTTAATGAATTTTTCAAACTAAGAAGGCAAGACAACCAGAATGCGGTTGTAGTCTTCATTGACTTTGAAAAAGCTTATGACCACTTGGACTAGCTATTTTTAGACAAATGTATGAAAAAAATGAACAT